GGCAAGGAGAGGTTGTGCCTCTGCTTGCGAATGGCCCCCCAAATCGGGAAAACCCCCCCCCCGCGCCCCGGTTTGGGAATAGAAGCGAAGGAGGGGAAGTCCTTGCGGTTCAGAGGCAGGACACGCTGGGGCGAGGCGGGGTCCCGTGATTGGCCAGCAGGCAGCTCTCGGATGCTGCCCAAAGGAAAGCGGAGAGGCTGGAAGCGGGAGAGCCACGGCGCCGGGAAGGTCGCCAGATCGCTCAGGGTACGTCCCCTCCGAGTGGCGGTGAAGCGAAGAGGGCTTTGCGTAGAGTTGCAGTCCCTCTCCCGCAGACTGCCTAGGGCCCGAATAGGGTACGACGTCCCACGGTTTGCTAAGAAGATTAAAAACCTGTTTCGTTCTTTATTTTCCAAAGCCAATCTCCGTAATTGTGATATCACTTTGTATAAACAATAAATGCTATTTTAAAATGTTGCTAGGGTTAGTAGCCTGCACTGTGTTCTATGAAATGTGTTTCTCAGTAAACCTTTCGGGTAGCGGTGAGACGGTGGTCCGGCCCAAAAAATATTTCAAATTGCGTCATCGTTTGCAAAGAGAAATTGCTGTGTTTATTATTTATTGTCAGCATATTTAAGATGACGCAGAGATAGGCATTAAGAGACTACTTTATTGATGTTAGGTAAAATAAAATTACCGAATCAGAGCCATCCCTTGATTTAACCAACCAACAAATTAGACCGGCTTCTGAGTAGGCACTTGTCAGCCAACAGCAGCACCTATCTGAGTTGTCTGCACTCCGAAGCTAAGCAGGATGAGGCCTGGTTAGGATTTCAATGGGAAACCCCAAGCGTGCATGCTAGACTGGGAAGTTAAGAAAAATGGAAAGGCCAGTGGCTGTGATGGAATGTATCTCCGAGGAGGAGAATGATGTGGGAGATCAAGGCTATCGGGGAGGAGGCAAGAGGCAGCATAGTCCACAGGGGGAGTGTGGGAAGCATAAGAGGTTCAGGATAGCCACTCCCTAGAATCTCCCAGGGTATATCCACGAGTTGCTGTAGTGTAGATTTAGTTTGGCGAGATTCTGTCTATAAGGTGTAAGCTAATAAAGGGACTGGACTGCACTGGACTGGACTGGACTGGACTGGACTGTTCTTGGGCTGGGCGTGACAGTGGAAAAAACCTTCCACATGGCCTTCAAGACAACAGTGTAAGACACATCTTTATATTCCACAGGACTATTGTATGATCACCTTGAATAACACTTAATTCATTTTAATTTTTCAAGGGAGAAAAGGGAGAGGAGCAGGGCTCCATCATAGTCCTTCCCTTATAACTAGGAATTACTCCCCCTCCCCAAGTTTTCTCTGCTTATTGTCAACTTCTGTTTTGCAATTTGCATGTGTGTGAACTGCTGTTTTCCTGCCTTGTATGTTTAGGTTTGTGGTTGTTTTTATTTATATTTATTCTATATACTTATGCAAATATTTGAACATTTTAGTGTAAATAAGATGGTGCTGTTAATGATAATTTTATCATTGTTATTATTGTAAGAAATTAATTGGTACTCTATCTCCAATACATCACTTCACTGACTTTAACTCAGTAAGTTACAGACTGTGCAGGCCTACGGTAAATGAAATTCATTGTTTGTTTCATACTTGCACATATTCCTGTCCTAGATTTTTAACAGTTACCACCACAGAAATTAATAATGGAGATAGAACTTCCTCCTGCCTTCCAATGGAGCTCTCAATACTTCCTGTCCCCTTTCATAGGACTGTTCTGATGCCAAGAGTACCTTAATGGGTAATTAGTTTAGTGTCACATAAGCTTTCTTGGTTGAATCCTCTTTCACTGGATGCAGTAAATGATATCCTCAATTAACAGATTGGGACGTGCTACAAAATGCCGCATTTTCTCTGCCTGTTCAGGTTGACAGCCAATCCTTTCTTCTTAAAGGATCTTGTGATCTTGACACTATTTTGTTCGATAATCAAGTTATTATCCTTTTTAAAATGTTAGCACATTTCTTATGGTCAGCTCAGCTATCTTTGCTGTCTCTTTAACAAAAATAATCTTGTTTAAGATTATTTAACTCAGTCATTAAAATCTTACGTCTTTTGTCTTTTAGGTCATCTGACTGACCAAGTCTGTTTATATAACCCTTTTTAGTCCAACCAATAACTGACAGTTTTATTTATACTATAATTTTTTGGTGTACAACACTCAGCATGATCCATGTCTTGCTGGGAAAACAGGGGAAATAATTAATATTTGGTTTAAAAATATTCCATTAATTCCAGGATCTCAAGTAACTATTTCCAGTTTATTTGTAAGCAACCAAGCAACAATTACTGCTTCTTTTTTGGTAAATACAGATTCTGCAATAATTGCTGAGAGGATAATATTGAGATAACATCTCTTTTTGGAGTTTGACTATGCAGAGGTGAATGGGGAAAAAATCAAGTTTAATTAACAGTGCAGTTCTGTGCAGGCCTCAGAAAAAACTTTCTTTGACTTCAGTTGACCTTACTATCAAGTAAATATACATAATAAGTTCCCAGTCTAGGAGCCTCCAAACATGTTGGGCTACAAACTCCATAATCTCCTATCATGCTGGCTGGGGCTAATAGGAATTGGAGACAAGTGGATTGACTTTTTCTAGACAATAGTATATTTGTAAGGATGATGAAAGTTGGTGTTCATCACAAACAGCAAACAGGTGGAGAAAGCCTACTGTACAATATTGCAGCTAAATTGCTATTTAATTAAAGGAAGACACTTTTAAAATATACAGGTGTTGATCTTGCCTCCCTCCAACCAAGTGGAATTAATTGAATTGTCTTAGAAGCTTCAGGCAGGACCTGGTTTGGCACAGGTTGTGTAAATTGCTAAAAAAAGTGACTGGAAGCTCTGGGCTTTCATTATTTTTTAATGGTAATTGTATTAAAAATTACAATTAAAAAGATAAAAACAAATGCAAACTAAAAAAAAATAAAAGAAAAAGAAAAAACAAAGTGCAGAAAAGAAAAAAATAGAAAGAAAAATAGAAAAAAAATAATATAGTAAAGAAAAAATTATATAAAGAAATTACTTCCCCCTGTCACAAGTATAAACAATTTTAGTAGCTTATCGTCTTCTCTTAAAATACAACAAATGATCTCTTCTTCCCATATCTCATCTCTTATCTATAAAC